CTAATTTTTTGTATTTTTAGTAGAGAAAGGGTTTCACCATGTTGACCAGGATGGTCTCGATCTCTTGACCTCGTGATCCACCCGCCTCGGCCTCCCAAAGTGCTGGGATTACAAGCTTGAGCCACCGCGCCTGGCCAAATTCAACTTTTAAAAACTGGCAGAGTATTGAATTTATGTAATCCTCAATCAGAAAAAAAATTACTGGCAGATTGCAACGCAAGTCTGCCCCATTGAAGGTGAGAGGAAGGATGGTTGGAAGTGTTTCAGAGCACTCTGAAGGTTCAGCAAGGTTATCAGCGTGTCCTCAAACTAGAGCTGGCCAAAAACTTCAGCATAAAAACTATCCTATCTGTGTATTATATATACATTTACTACCAAATTTAATAAACAAAAACTACTTTTGAACCAGGTAATTTCATCTAGTATGAAAAGAAATTCATTACATGGTCATATACTGACTAACACTATCTAAAAGTAGACATTAAAGTATTTCATAATTGGAGAGAATCTTTGGAGATTAGTGGCTTCTAATCTGGAGGGCCTCAGACACCCAAAATATATATATTTACCAGTGGAAGTTGATGGTTTATTATCAAATTTCAAAGTACCTAATAGAAATCCCACTTCATCTGTGTGAAGATTTTCAGTTCCTTTACAGTTATTTGAAATTATTTCAGTTTTGTGGAGCTGCTTCAGAAACTCCAATGGGTCTTTGCAATATTAAAATGTGGAGAATGCATTAATCATTATTTAATCGATGAGTTTAAAAAATAGACAAAAGCTTCTGAAACATGGGACTAAATTAGAGGGAGCATTATAAAAGCCTAAGATAATTGGTAGTGAAGAGTTGGAAAAACTTAGTTGAATCTTGTAATTTACAGATGAGAAGACTGAGAAGATAAATAATTTATTCAATATCACATCCTGGTTCATTAGTGGAAGAGCCGGCATTAGAATTTGCTCATTTTGTACTTTAGAAGTTCTTAAAAAGTTACTTATTGTATTATTTTCTTGGGTGTTAGGGTTTTCCAATTTTTAAATCCTGCTATTTAGTGTTCTTAGCATTTGAAACCCAAATGTTTCACATTTTGTTTTTGGATTGCTTTGGAAATGAGTAACTCCTGATAGGGAATGACCCAATCCAAATACTAGAGTTTTAATAATTTCTACTTCCTCTGCTGGCCAACTTTCCAGTAAAATATTTTTTTTTTAGGAGAAAAATTCGGAGGCTGACGTGGGTGGATCATGAGGCCAGGAGATTGAGACCATCCTGGCTAAGGGGTGAAAACCTGTCTCTACTAAAAACACAAAAAAATTAGCTGGGCATGGTCATAGGTCCTTATAGTCCTAGCTACTCGGGAGGCTGAGGCAGGAGAATCGATTGAACCTGGGAGGCAGAGGTTGCAGTGAGCTGAGATTGCATCACTGCCCTCCAGCCTGGGCAACAGAGTGAGACTCCATTCCCCTGCTCCCCCCCCCCAAAAAAAAAAGAAAGAAAGAAAATAAAGAAAACAAAATGTAGCAGTAATTGAAACAAAAACTTTAAAAAGTGTCTTCATTATAAAAAGGTGCTGTGCCATAAAAGCCTTGTTAGTTTCAAGGTCCATTCTTCCACTCCTCATAATTTTAGGATTGTCCTTGTTCAGATCTACTCTAGTTATAAGAGTACTTTAAACAGAGCATAGAATTAAACTGTTAGCATGTGAATCTGCAAAAAGAGAACTTGTTTCAGACTCTTCTACAGTTTAGACTTCAATGTGCATACTAAATGCATAACATTCGTATCAAATAATTAACATATATATACAATTACCAAATAGGGGCAAATTTTATACAAAAGTTCTACTACTGCTATAATTTTTTAAAACATTTAACCCACAAGCAAGAGAAAAAACAGCACTGCCTTTTTAAAAGACAGGTCATTTGAATAGAGAATATAAAGCATAATCATAATTAGAAGTAGAAACAATAATTTTTCTTTTGTGGAATGTTTCAAAATTTCCTTCCGTATATTATTATTCTTCCTTAGGTTTTTTAGACAGGTCATTTCTTCTTGAATGATTTTCCTTTTTCTTTTCTTTTTATTTTTTGAAGGGGGATTACTTATTGATGGTCTAAAAGAAGTATCTTCAAATTCTTCATAATTGTAGCCAAAGCAGAAATGGGATATTTAATAATTCTTACACCTCACTAATGTAGTCTTCTGAGATAGCAACTAAGCAGAAAGATCGTTTTCTATGCTCAAAATTTTAAAACTTTGTAAAGACAATTGGGATTTCATAACAAATGATAATAAGTGGTTTTGTGCATTAATTCTCTTGATACCCAATAACATGCCAATTAAAATTCAGACTTCATATTGGCACCTAATGAACACAGCAGAATGACCAAAGTTGAGTGCTAGTCATTGTCATATATACAACCTGAAAGAAAAAAGTACAAATTTAAATATTGTTATAAAAAACATACTAAGTATTCCAAGTTCAGAAATATGAGTGTTTCATCCTGTCCTGGCTAAGGATTAAAAAAAAAAACAAAAAAAAAACTGGCTCACTTTATAAAAAATGAGTTAAATGGAAGGCCATATATTTAACTTTTTAAATTTAGTATATAATTCCAACAAAACATCTGGATGGATTTATTCTCTATTAAAATGAGACAAGATTATTTTATGTGGCACTTAATCAGACATACTTTTTGGTAGTCACTCTGAATGAGGTTGAAGATATTAAAGAGCAAGAATTATAAGTTTAGGCCGGGCGCGGTGGCTCAAGCCTGTAATCCCAGCACTTTGGGAGGCCGAGGCGGGTGGATCACGAGGTCAAGAGATCGAGACCATCCTGGTCAACATGGTGAAACCCCGTCGCTACTAAAAATACAAAAAATTAGCTGGGCATGGTGGCGCGTGCCTGTAGTCCCAGCTACTCAGGAGGCTGAGGCAGGAGAATTGCCTGAACCCAGGAGGCGGAGGTTGCGGTGAGCCGAGATTGTGCCATTGCACTCCAGCCTGGGTAACAAGAGCGAAACTCCGTCTCAAAAAAAAAAATAAATAAATAAATAAAAAAAATAAAAAAAAAATAAAAAAAATAAGTTTAAAAGACTAAAGGGCATCATGGTCAACGGTATGCACCATTTCAACTGGATTAATTTTTTAGATTACAGTTTGGAACTATATGATGCTTAGAGAATATTAGCATTCCTGGTTATGAAATAGGTACCTCTTTATTTGCCAAAAATGCTTATTTATTTGGATAAAAGAAATTCTTATTATGATTCACAGTACAATGAAAAATTTACCAATTATTTTCATACTTGTGTTCTCAAAGAAAACAAATGAGGTTTTCCCTTAATTTCCCACCTTGTGGGAAATGTGATATTTCCCCCTCATTATGCCAGGGCATTTACCTTTTCTATTTTCAGGTGATTCAAATTCTGATCACATTGGAAGTCTCTAATCCAACAAACTATTTTTAGTATTTGCAAAAACAGAAAATTCACTGTTACTGTTCTCTGTGGTGGTATTATATAAGACTTACCATCAGCAATATCATCATAGATCTCTCCATCACTGTAAATGTAAAAAATAATTTTTATATTAAAGAAACTATCTTCTTAGCACTAGAGCAATACATAGAAGAAAAGAGTAACAGTATGATTTTATACGACACAATTTAAGGCTTGTTAAGCATAATATGCATTTATAAGTATAAACAAATTTGATATTATCTCTTCTTTCATTGACTTAATCTAATCCTCTGTTTCATTTTACATACAGAATAATTAAACATGCTTCAAGAGCACAGACTATGCCTTACTCATCTTTGCAAGACATGTTTGTTAACAATGTACTGAACATCATGAAGTAATACTCCCATTGCGGGCTTTAATTCAAAGCTGCAGTATGTGTTAATATCAGATTCATACTTTCACTTGAATTGCAAATGGTGAATGAAATACAATAATAATTGGCATAGGAAATGGCTTCATCATTTTCACGTTTCTAATTATAACTCATACATATGATAAAATATATAAATATTAGTTACAGAATATGTAGCTAAGATATGATTATTATGGTGACTTATGTAATTTTAAAACTATTACTTATGATTGTAGGCAGCATCCATAATAGCACTTTTGCTACTTTTACACATTTTAGGTTTTGCCTGGCCCCGAATCTTTGTGATATTTTCCATCCAACACACATACTGAGTCCCTTCTATGTACCAGGAGACATAAATATGAGTAAGAGACAAGCTTTGCTTTAAGTACCTTATAATCAAACAGGAGATTATATAAGAAATAAAATCGAGAGTATTACAAACATGAATATTCCCTTGAAATGTAAGATATACTTCTAAAGTTCAGAAATGCAGGGTGGCTTTGTCTCTTAGACCAGACCAACTCCTCACTGTACAATCTCTGTGCTTTATCATGGAAGCAGCAGCAGGCCCTTCAAACTGCTGCCAAGTATGGCAGATGTTGTGAGTTCCCTATGTCTTCTGTTTGGATCTTTTCGCTGAGATGGAAGGGAGGGAGGGTTTGGCTAACGGAAATCTCATCCAAATGCAACAAGGACAGATTTTTCTGTCATTTATACGATAAACATTTATTAAGTGTTCGCTTCAATAGTAGTGAACCAACAATTACTGCAGTGTCCTTTCTAAATTCTCTCAATCAGCCTGTAATAATCACTGATGAAGATGTTGTCCTATTATTTGCTACACATTCTGTCCTTAAACTTTGTATCTTTCATGGAACAAAACCTATGAAAGTCTCATGCCTCCCACTGTGATTAATGTGCTGAGAACAAAGGTATTATGATTATTTTTCTTTGGCCTCCACTAGTTTGCCAACAAAGCTCTTCACACTGATTTGTCTTTTTCTGATTGGTGTCAGGCTGTGACGGATACACAGTTTGTGACTTCTCCTGGATCTTTTCATTGAGCTGAGTTCTGTAAATCTTTGCATTGGCATGTTACCTAACCTGACAATGGAGTTCATTTCTTGCAATGGGTTACTTGGGACAGAATCTTATGTTTTGGGGGACTCCAGAGACACACTAGTACCAGACTGTGACAGACTGTCACAATGTCTTATTCATAAGAATAGAAGAATCATTGACTATTATCTTTTTTTCTGGCATGCTTCCAAAAAAGGCAACATAGTACTCTACTGTGCCTAGTATGAGTGAAGCAAAGCCCTTAATTAAGGGCTAAACTATTAACTGTTAACAGGTAATATTAGCATCTACAGTGAACTCAATAATTGGTCCCAAATTAATTGCATTCAACCAATTGCATTAGCAAGTAAAATGCAAAGTATTAATGAAAAGGTTAGTGGCTTTGACTTGTCTGTCTTCAGTGTTTGCTGAGAGCCTAATGAATATAGAAAACTATTAACTGTGAGCTATATAATTTTAAATGAGAAGGGCTTCTTGCCTATTTAAAAGAGTAGCACTTTATGAAAACCTTAACTTTATTGCAGATACTAACATGTTAACATTAGTATAGCATATTGTTTTTAAATTTATTTATGATAGTTTAGTAAGTTATGTTATTTAAATAAGATTAGAAATCTTTTTCAAAGAAAGGCACAAAATTCTTTTCACATGCATAGTAGTAAAAGAAAATGGGCTTACTTGTCCACTAGATAACTCCGAAGGACATAGCCATCTATGAAGAAAAAAGGAAATACATTTTATTAATAATACAGGTTTGAAAAATCTGTAGTAGTTCTTTCAGGAAATCAAAACACGAGAGTAATCATAATATAGCACACTAAATAATTGTATCTATCTCTGGAAATGACCCATTTTTCTTCCTTGTGTCTACTTTTGTGTGCCTCCTTTTTTTCCCTTTTCTCTCTAACTTTTCTCTTTCTCCAATATGTCTCTTTTTCTCTCCCATTTCATATTTTCTCCCTTCCCTTTAAATAAAAAAACGTTTTTCATTAAGCTACTGTAGGCTGTAGCACAGAGTTCTTTCAATTTTTAACCCCCCCGTCATGATCCAGTTTTAGGAAGAATTTAGTAAGCACAGATTATAAAAGTAGCTTATTGGTAAATATTTTAAATACCACCAGATCTAGGACTTACTTTAAAAAATTTTATTATATTGAGCAGAGATAGAACTCTATTCAACTCCCCTTTCAGATGCCAGCCAGATATTGACTATTAGGGGGACTATGCATTGTAAATAGTCTCAAAACAGCTCTCTTTTAGCAGAGGAAGAAATTCCTATATTGCTTTACTATTGGACAGTATCAACATTTGCATTTCATCGCTCATGGAACAAAAAGCATTATTGGAAGGGCACATACTATGGATTCTGTGATGACTGGTCAAGTAGAAAATAAACCATATTTGATGCAAGAAAACTAAATTTTGTTGTTGTTGTTGTATAAGGGGCACCTATATTTGCCCCTGATTGTGCAAACGTTTCTCAGGAAAAATATAAACTATTTTTCTTAGGAAAATGTCTGCTGATATCTAATTAATATTAGTAATATTTGGAAAAATTAGTTTTGTGTTAGTGCCTAAAATCTGTTGTATGCTTGAGATTAGTACCATTTGTTGCTTCTTCAATACAATCTCTAAATAATTTCTCTCAGTGAGTCAATCTATTGGTCTTGGTCCACTTTAGATCTAATTTTGGTTCTAGATTGAATTAAATATGTTAAAAAATTATAAAGAGAAAGCTCATAACCAAAATTAATAATACAAGTGATAAACTTACTTAAATGTATTGATGTCATATTGCTATTGATTAAACATGAAAAAATTTTTTTAAAGTTAGAATCATAAAACTGAATTTATACATTAACATTTAAGAAAATGAACTTTCCCTTTAAGTATTATAGGGTTAAAAAAAACTCCACTAAAATGTTTTATCAAGAAGTTCACCACTTTTTAATAAAAACTATTTATACGTATCATATTTGAAATAGAAAGAATCAAAGCTACCTTTGAATTCTTGTAGTAGGAAAGTAATGAAAAAACTGTCAAGATAATAAAAGCACAATAACATAATATATTACTTGGAGTATAAAAAAATAGAACATGTTGTACCTTCCTTTTTAGTTCAATTAATACAAAGGTAGCAAAAAGTATTAATGTAAGACCATCTACAATTAATATCTATAGTCTGTGGGTAGGCTTTGATATCACAGTTCATTTCATATTAACAGACTTTCTTTTTAAACAAGGTATACATAATAATTTAATATAACTTTTAAAAAAGGGATAAGCTCATGTCCAACAAATTCAATTCAACATGTGTCTCTCAAAAGACAAAAATCTGTGCAAATAACAAGCTTTTAGAACAATTTGTGGATTTTTATATCAGGGTCCTCATACCTGAAATAACTACTATCTGTATCTATACTTACAGCTACACTAAAATTTGAACAGTTTTCTACAAATAGTAATAGCCACATACTTTTTTATCAGTTAAAATTGGGGGTTCTGCTTTCATTTTGGATTTTTTGCTAAAACAAATTGGAAAATAACACAATAGTAAATGTTCCCATTACATACTCATGTTGATGTTAATAATTTAAAACTGATGTATATGAACTGAAGTTTCTAATACAGAAATCAATCACATATGATTTGTTAGGACTTCATAAAGTCTCTGAGATGAAATTGGAAGATAAATTAGAGAAATATATAAGAATTATAAACAGTTGTCAGAGACTGAAGCTATTCTGGCATCAAGCGTAAAGTTCAAAACAGAGAATGTAATCACCATTTTAGAAATTAAAGATTTTTATTTGCTTATGCTTTTAGGTAATCTATTTTTAAAAACTCATTTATGCTACAATTTTGCAGGCTTGGATAAAACACTAAATGTAAAGAGAGCTAAAACAGTCCTTTACATGACCAAAGCTAATCATTCATGATATACAGCTTAATACCTCAACTTTACAAATTACTTCTAAAAAACATATTTCTTAGATTCTGAACCTGTATTTTCATTCCCTCCTGTATCTGTGTGTTCACAAGTTCTAAGGAACAGCCTTCTCCTGTGTTGAACACTTTATTGCTATTGTGTGTGTGTGAAATACATAAACATCAATAATTGAGAATATTTATGAAAAATGTATTAGGGAGACAGAACGTGAGATGGTACTGTGCTGCAGAAACGATGTGATAACATGGGGCTTGTTAGCTAAAAAAAATCACTATTATGTAGCTTTTTACAAGGTAAATGACGTTTAATACAGTACAGGCTTTGCTGTCTGGTACCTTTAAAAAACTCAGCTAAAACTTCATTCTATTAAAAGCATGATTTATGACAGTGTCAAAATAAGTGACTTACCATAAAATTTTATATAATCTCTCCATTATCGGTCCTAGAGATATATGTATATATGTGTGTATATACATATATTTACTTTGATCAGTACTTTTATTTTATTTTTTCTGTACATTCTTTTTTTCTTTTTTTTAATTATATTTTAAGTCCTGGGGTACATGTGCAGATTGTGCAGTATTGTTACATGGGCATACAAATGCCATGGTGAAAAGAAATATATATCTTTTTTGCAGTAGGAAAATCTCTTCGTTCATGTTACATGTGTACATTTATTACAGGGAATATTAGTGAAAAATATAAACACATGAAATAAACAACAACAAAAATCTCATGGTGTGTACCATGTAGCATGGTGGCTACGTTTAGCCCTGTGATATTGTGAGTGCTGGCACAGCAGGGATTCTCATATATTATATGAAATTATTATTTGGAAACCTCAGATTCATACAGCAGAACATAATGGCTTGAAACAAATGTTGTGAAATGTGTGGTGGGGTAGAGCTAGCTGGGAAAATAACACTTACCCCGCACATGTGCCAGTTAATTTCTTCCCCAAACATTTGCTTGCTACAGTGCAGATGTGTTTCAGGACTAATGACTACCTTTTAGAAGGGTATTGTGAATATAGATTAACCGAGGAAATAGAAAAGAATCTTTGGAAAAGTGGAAATTTCCTTCATTCTAATATTCTCAAATTTTTACTTAATAAAAATGACAACATCATATTTCATCATTATTTTATTTGTTGTGAGTAAATCCAGAAATAAAGTTAAATGTACTCAATTTGGTCTCACGCAGTTTAAAAATAATAAAATCATATGGTACAGATTTACCTAGGCAAGTGGAACAATGTCCAATTTCAATGCAAAATGCTCATAATATAATAAAAAGAAAAAACAAAGTGTTGTGTATAATACTGAATATACATTATTATCCTAGTTTTATAAAAATGGTCACTCTTCCCCTCTTCTCTGTCTTTATTGTTGTTTCTGCAGCTTCATATTTGGATGACATTTTAACTTTCTAAATTTTAAACATTTTCCTTCAGTGGGCATGTGTTGTTTTAAAATTGAAAAAAAAATTATGCAAGTTTAAAAAATCATCAATTAGATTTGGGAAGATCAAAAGCACCTTTAAAATCCCTTGGTCTTTGATGCCTAAAGAAAATGGAAAGTGTTTTGGCCACAAATAACTCAGACAAAAAGTGTCTCATTCTACATTTTTTGTAGAAATTTTTTTTCAGTGACAGGAGGTGGGAAAACTCACAGCTTATGAGACATAGAGTTGTGGAATATGCATACATATTAGCGAGAAATTCTAAACATTTGGAAATGTGCCAGAAATTTATAGTTAAGATGTCAACACCCACGCAAGTCAGTGGGTGAGACTTGATTGAATGTGATAATGCCTGTAGAAGTGGCTTATGCCCCACTCTGTAGTGGTAAGGGATTGGTGTTCATGCTTTAGCCTTTAATTGCTATCATTATGAATTTCAGGTTGAAGTAAGCTATGCTTTTCTTTTTTGATGGATTAAAGAAGAATGGAGGCTAAGGATAATGTTAGTTTCACCGTGGTGCTGGATTACAAATGCAAAGGCAATTTCCAAATTTTTCATTCAATCCAGCAAACCCTGTGCAAGGTGCAAGGCACTGTGTAATGTGTTGACAATACAATGTTGAGAATATTTCATTGAAGTGACTCTGAAGCTTGGAGTCTAATAAGAGTAATAGATTGGTAAAACAATAATGACAATGACAGCCCCAAAAGAAATATCATGGTAGAGTTGGGGAGAGATGAATTGTGATGATGTGGCTGGGAGTAGGGACTGGAGGTGCTTCTAATTTTAGATGACAACTAAGTTGTTTTTAATAGAGAATCACAGGCATTCCAAGTTGAATAAAATAGCATAGTAGGATGAAATACAGAATTTTTTTTTTGAGACCGAGTCTCGCTCTACCACGAGGCTGGAGTGCAGCAGCACAACCTCGGCTCACTGCAACCTCTGCCTTCTTGGTTCAAGTGATTCTCCTGCCTTAGCCTCCTGAGTAGCTGGGATGACAGGCGTATGCTACCATGCTCAGCTAACTTTTGTACTTTTAGTAGAGATGGGGTTTCGCCATGTTGGCCAGGCTGGTCTCAAACTCCTGACTAAAAGTGATTTGCCCACCTCAGCCTCCCAAAATGCTAGGATTACAGGTGTGAGATACCATGCCCAGCCAAAACATCTAATTTATTCAGGGAATGACAAGTAAATAGTTTGTATTTCTGAAGTGTCAGTTGTAGATGGAAAATAGCAGTGGGTGAGGGTGAGGCTAGATCATAAAGAGTTTTATGTGCTAGCTTAAATGCTATATTTAAAAAAATAATATTTGGGTAACATTGTGTGGAAGTGGATTCTGAATATAAGGGCAAAGATAGACATGTCATTAGAAAGGCTATTGCAATCATCTAGGAGAGCGAGGGTTAAAACCCTGCAATAATCTTATAGAGGTGTGCGAAGAATGAAGCAACTGTTTTTTAAAATTAAGAATGTCAAGGACCCAGTCCGTGGAAGGAGAAGGCAGGTTTGTAAAAATTAAGAAAGGCAGGAGGTTAGGAAAAACACAAATGAAATTAAGCAGATAAGGTGATTAAATCTTGGAATAATACTTAACCTGAAAGCCAGTAACAGATGCTCCTAGTGCCTCTCTTTTACACCCGCACCCTTACCACGTGGGTACTTGCAGGTCCAACTGACAGTAATTACATTTAAAAATTTTTTCACTTGTGGCTTTTCTCTGGCTTCTGGAACTCTCTGTCAGCTTACTGAGTATCCTGAATTCCTCCATACCTGCCCAGGAATAGGATTCAGCTCCTGAAGGACAGGAGTTGGTGTAAAAATACCCCAATTTGTTTCCCACTGGATGGGATAACACTGACACTCAGGGGTCTAGAGCAGGATCAGGCTCCAATAATCCAAGTGGTAACTTTTTTGACCGTAAGATTTTATTGGCTGCCTTCGCTTCCCTATCTCATTTATCCACTTGCCGCTGGCATTTTTCCAGAATCACTCCCTTTATGGGGAAGCCAATCTAAGACAAAATCCAGCCCAAAGGAAGTCTTTACATAAAAAGCAACAGGTAGGTGCTGCCATATAATCATGTGGTTTCCATCCTGTCTGAGATGTACCCCAAAGCCATCTAAGAATTTAGGTAGTTAACGATGAACTGGGAAACTGTAAAGTACATTGGTACTGCAGCAGAAAGAAAAAAGATATTTACATGAAACTCTTGATTATAATCTATCAGAAGTTTATGAAACATTTCACCTCTTATTCTTAGAAGATGACATTGTAAGAGGACAGGAGAGCTCTAGTATTTGTAATAGTACTTAGAATTATTGATGTTCCAATAGAAAATGATAGTAGATTATGCAGTTATTCTGAATGGCTACTTATTCTTTTTTTTTTTTTTTTTTTTGAGACAGAGTTTTGCTCTT